CTGCCTTTGCTTGTCCATGCTCCGTAGGCCAGGAAAGCACACCAGGGCTTTGGTTTGCCCTGCAGCTTCACCAGGGTGAGAGCAATTTAAACTAGAAAGCACATTTTTAATTTTGGAAGGTTTATGAAATCCAGAATTTCAGTTTTGCTTGAAAGATTGTCAAAAGGCAAAACTGAGTAGCAGGAACTATGCAGGGGTGACCGTTAGTCAGGGCTACCACCCAGGTCTTTGCACCTGCTCCACCAGCTGGGGAGCCACATGTGTTTGCTCCCCTATTCCAGGAAAAGTTACAACTCATTCACAGGTACACAGAGTCCTGCACAGTCAGCTCCACCCCGTCCCCCATCTTCCTGCCCCCCATCTTCCTGACCCATCCCCTCAGTATATGCTACTAAAAAGACAGTGCTTTGTCTAACTGAAGGTCTAACAAGGACGGCTTCATCTAAAAAGAGACTACTGCGCTGGAGTTTTGCAGTGGCAGATGGTGATGGGGATCAACTCCAAAGACAAGGATGAGTGGGACTGAGAGCCAGGGTAGGCACAAGGCTGGGCTCTGCTGCAGGGTTAAGGCAGGATTCTGGGTAAGCTAGCATGCTGGAATTCTTGCTGCAGGTGGGCTGGGTGAGAGATGAGGCCCGGGATTCTCACCACTCACCTGCACTGATTCTCAATGGAATGAGGCTGTGCTAGGACAGCTGCTGAAGCACGGGGTCCAGGCACGGAGGGCTGAGTGGAGCCTGACTAGCGTTAGCTGCTGGGGTGTCTTTGTCACCTGTTCCAATTTGGTTACTCGGAGAGTTTTTTTGTTTTTGTTTTTGTTTTTTTTTTTTTCTTCTTATGTTTCCCCATTCACAATACAGACAAGGCACAAGGCCTGGGCTGAGGTGTACATGGGGCAGGTTTACTCTTCCTCCTTTTTCTATACAGTCAGTGTAAGAACACTGCCTGTGGTAAGCACCAGGAGGCACACTCGGAGAGTTTTTTTCATCTTTAATCCACAAGACTCATCCTGCACATCTTGCCGGCCCACGGATTAACTGCAGGGTATATGCCTGGCCTGGCCACCATTTAGGGAGTTGCTGTTTATTTATTACTTACTTGTTGGAGGTGGGAATTGAACCGAGAGCGTCATGCATGCTGAACTTTCGCTGGACTACAGAGCTGCACACCAAGCCCCCAAAGAAGTTACACTTTCGGTTTTCTTGGTGTATTGATCCAGAACTTCTGGGAAGGACAAGATGATGCAAAGACAGGGAGAGAACAGATGCGGCCTTTCTGTGCTTACGGTCATTTTCATAACACCTCTTCATTTGATTAATTGGTTGTGTGTTTTCAGACATTCTGCTCAGAGAAGTTTAGGTTGTTTTACCTTGTTTAGGATAGTTGTTGTCAGACATTGCCCATTATTTCCCAGAATTAGAGCAAAATTGGCACATCAGTTAGTTTCCTTATTATACTTAGGGAAGACAAAACCAGTTGAAGCTATGGGGTGAGTTCCTTTGCTGCTGTTCACACAAAGTCCAAGAACTTCCAGAGCATTCTTCTACAGAAAGCTGGGCATTTGTCCTCTGGTTTCAGGAACTCATTGCCAGAGTCAGACCAATGTTGAGGCCATCATAAGATCTGGGTTCTGTTTTTGTCAGTGCAAGACCTGAATTCCCCTGGAACAGCCAGGTGAATTGGTGACACCCCAGTCAAACTCACAAGGACTCTTTGTTAACTAGAACATTCATTATTTTATACATTTATTGAACACCTGTTGAACGCATCCTAATCTCTAGGGAAACAAAAAAATGCCTCATATGTGGGACATGCTTCCTGATCTTTAGAATTATATGGTCCAGAAAATGAATGTGTAAATAAATATGTTGCATATATTGTGCTAAGTGTGAGTGGCCTTACATCCCAGGTCTGCCTAAAACAGCCCTGGTAGGTGCCTGATGTCACGATTAATAATACTGTCTACCATTTTTCAGCTGGAAAAGTCACAGTAATGATCATTAGGCATGTTCAGGATATAGGAAGGGTAACAAACAGGAAGAAAGCAGCCTTGTTTCCCAGAATAGACTTTGGAGCTGGCTATGAAGGAAGTCTGGGAGCTCAGGGTGGGAGCCAGGGATGTGCAAAAGGAGATTGTTTGAGGCAACCTTCAGGTGGTTCAAGTTGGGCATTGTTTCCCAAATTTACCTGTGACAATTCCTTCAGGGCATTTAGTAAACATTCTTCTGATCTTGGCAATTTGGATTGGCATTCTTTTGTGGCATGGGGTAGGGGACTGACAGTATTTGAACCCAGGCCTTTGCTTTGCCACTGAGCTAGAGCCCATCCCCAGCACCTCCTCCTTTTTTTTTTTTTTTTTTTTTTTTTTTTTTTTAGGAGACAGGATCTCACTAGATTGTTAAATTGTTCCTGCCTTAGGCTCCCAAATTCTGGGATTACAGAGATGCACCACCACATCGGCCTAGAGAATATTTCATAGGGACCTTAAACACACACACACACACACACACACACACACAAAGACTCTGCCTACTTTATTTCTAGAACACACTGGACGTTTGTGTTTATCTCTGGGAAGAAGCTGAAATGAATTCTAAAGTATTTAGACACTTCAACCAGGTCTTGTTTCAGATAGAACCCTGCTCTTTCTTTTGTGGTAGGATTCATGCCAACGCTTCTATTTTGGCTTCTGTTTTCATAATTGAATGTGTGAGACAGTTAGGATTCCTTGGCAGCAAAGTGCTGAGCTCTTTCAGAGGAGATGGTCAGTCTTTTGCAAATGTCAGCGTCACCTTGTCTCCAAATTTTGGGGCTGCTCTCCTTGTGGGAATCTCTGGCCACTTTTGAGTCACTGCCACTTTGGAAAATGACAGCAGCACAAGAAACACAGGACTTAGGCCAGGCAATCCTGGGATTCGGTTTTGGAGGCTGAGGCAGCTGGTTCTCTTAGAAGTGAGTGCCCAGTGGATCTGAGAGGGGCGATCCCCAAACGGAACCCCGATGGAACATGACAGAACTAGGCTATTTGCCGTGCTTCTAAACACAAGGAAGTTTTCATTCAAAGGCTGCCGGCCCCAGGCCTAGTGGCTCACTACTGAACTAGCAAACAACGTCAAAATCCAAAGGCCTAAATCGTGGAGAGAAAGCCTCAAAGAGGAGGACGAGGAGCGCTACCCGTCCCCGGGGAGCCGTACATCCATCCTCCCGGGCGGCAGGTGAATTCCGGTCTCTGGCCGCTCTCGTGGCGGTGCTGGGGGGCGGGGGTTCCCAAACCCCCGAGCCCTGAAGACCGCTCGGCCCACATCCTCCCGCTGCGTCAGGAAGCCGGGGAATCGCCGTGCCTGCAGCCTCCGAGTCGTGTGTGCGTGTGCATGTGAACGAGGGGCTTCTGCACGGTCCGGTGTCACCACGCCACCAAGAGCTGCTGCACAGACCAACAAACTTGACACCCGCGCCCGCCGCGCTCGAGCTCCCGCTGGGGCGCCGCAGCCGGAGGTGCAGGCGGGAAGCCCCGGGCCACCGTCCGGACGCGACCAACGTGGCGCGGCGGGGTCGGAGCCGAGCGCGCGCCGCCTCAGAGTCCGCGCCTCCCCCCGTCCGCCCTCACGGGTGGTACGGTCTGAGGGGGCGGGCCCGCGCCGAGCTCTCCCAGCTCCTCAGCGGGCGGCGGCCAGAGAGCCGGCGGCTCAGCGTGAGGAGGGCGCGCGGCGTGCGGGTCTCGACGGCGCGCGCTGAGCCACGTCCGCTCCCGGCCGCCGCGCGCCCGGCGCTGTCATCGTGCCCTCCATCTTGAAGGGGACGGCGCTGGCCTCGCCGGCCTGCCCTCGCGCCGGGCCGCGCCATGGCCTTCAGTCCCTGGCAGATCCTGTCCCCTGTGCAGTGGGCCAAATGGACGTGGTCTGCGGTGCGCGGCGGGGGTGCCGGGGAGGACGGAGCCGCGGGGCCCGAGGGCGAGCCCGAGGAGGAGGACTCGCAAGCGGAGACCAAATCCCTGAGTTTCAGGCAAGTACACAGCATCCCTGCCGCGCCCGCCGCCGCCGCCATCCATCCTCCGCCCGTCCGTCCGTCCGTCCGTCGGTCCATTCTCGTGTCGCGGCCGCTCGGGGCGTCGCCGCCCGCTGCGCGCGGGAAAGTTCGGGATGTGCTGTCCGCCAGCTTGCGCCCCTTCCCGGTTTCTCCGCGCTTCCTGAACCCGGCCTGGCATCCGCAGCCCTGCAGCCCCGCTCGCCTGGCCGCGTTCTCTAAGCTGCGAACCCCTGGCCTCCGCGCGGCCTCAGCCGCAAGGGCGGTGACCGCCCGCCCGCCCGCCCGCCCGCCAGGCGGAACCCGGCGCCCTCGCGAGGGCAAGGCCCCCAGACGCGGCCGCTGTAAAAAAGGTCGCCCGTGACAGGCGCCTTTGGCAGCTGGTGGGGATGGTGGTCTCCGCTAAGCTGTCGCCATGTGATTGCGGAAAACAGGTGACAGTATTCTTAGCTTGCAGCCCACAGAGCGGCGGACAGGTAGCGGCCTACCCAGGAAAAGGGCATGGCTAGGACCATATGAATTTCGTAGTGGGCCGGTGTTGTTTTTTGCGGGGGAAGGATACGGGCGATCGAACTCAGAACCTTGCGCTTGCCAGGCAGGCGCTTGTGCTGCTGAGCTAAATCCCCGGCTCTAGTGTTCACTTTTAAGCTTATGGAGAACGGGTCTGGTGAGAAAAGGAGTGTGAAAGTGCTTTTTTTCTGGTGTCAGAGCGTTGACCTCAAAAATAAATAGTGCTGGAGAAAAAGCTCCTGAGGATGAATGAGATTGTGGGGAGCCAGGGTGTCAGACTGAGGAGTCCAAGACATCGGCATTAAAATACCGAGCGCAGTGACCTGCCGCAAGCCAGACTCTGCCTGGTATCACTGGCTGTAAAGTTAGGCAGAGATGCTGGACTTCAACCTTTATGGAGAGTAAAATTTAAAGGGCGTGCAAAATACCGTTGAAAGTGGTAATTCCTCATTTTTCCCCCTTGGCAGCTCGGATTCTGAAGGTAATTTTGAGACCCCTGAAGCTGAAACTCCAATCAGATCGCCTCTTAAGGAATCCTGTGATTCATCACTAGGATTGGCAAGACCTGGGGCCAAAACTCAAGGTAAAGAAAAACGTTGATTTTTTTTTTTTATTTGAAAGAAGGTGGAAAATTGTAATTTAGGGCCACTTAAAGGGGTTTAGATTGTTTCTTTGCTCTGAAAGGGCATTTTCAAATTTCCTGGGTTGTTTGGAAGGTTCTTCCTATTTGCTTTTTGTTTTTATAAACTGAGAAACATGTTTACAAAACAAAACATTCAGATGGTTTGGTGATCTGTGGTCTCTTCCTTCCCAAAATGCAATTTATGTGTTTACAATTGAGATTATCATTCTCAAAGCTCTCTGCTGGGCCCTTCCCAGCCTCTGAAAAAAAATGAAATCGCACAATGATGGACTTAGGTTTAGATTTGGTTTCACAGATCCCTCAAGCTAAGTTACTTTCTACCTGGGTCTAGTTGGAGATAACAATTACAGGTGAGGCCATGTTTTGGTTTTCGTGTTTTTGATTAGGAAGAATTTTAAGTGGTCAGTTCAAAATCGCTTACCTTTCCCTTTTCTACCCTGGAACACCTGACACACATACATATTCTCTCTTGTCTCTGCCCTCAGCCCAACCTTGAGCCCGCCCTTCACCTAGAGATACTTCTGCTGTCTTTCTTAATTTAGAAACCATTTTTTGGTCACATAAGACAAGTTTTGAGCAAAATTTTACCTGCTCTAATAGATTTTATTTGTTTATTCACTAAAGTAAACTGTGATTTAGCTGGCAAATCCACAATGAGCTAACATTTTGGAGGGAGATATGCCTTTCAGGGGTTAAAATGTGTATCTGCTTGTGTACTGTGGAGGATAAGAAAACAGGAGAAAGTGGACCAGGGAGTCTGGAGTGAAGACTTAAGAAGATGACCTGAGCAGGGACTCAAGACTGGTAGATTCCTGGGAAAGGGGCTGGCTTCCTCAGAGCCCTGAGAAAGGACAGCCTGCAGGGGGCAAGGCACTGGTGGGGGGAGGTGCTTGAGGCCCCACGGAGGCCATTGTGGCTGGAGAGGAGTGACTTGGCAGGCAGCTGGAGGAGCTGAGGTCGGCTAGGTAGTAGGAGGTCTTAGGAGGTCCAATCTGATGGTTTGGTTTTCTGAAACGGAAAACTTTACGGGGGGGGGGGTGTTTATTTTCTAGGGCTGTCATAACAATGCTATGAACAGAATGTCTTGAAACAGCAGAAATCAGTTCATTCACAGTTTGGAGAATATAAAATGCCCTCTCCAAAGTCTCTAGAAAGAATCCTCTTTGTTCTCTTTTAGCTTCTGGTGGTTAGTAACAATCCTTAGTGGGTTTGGCTTGTGATAGTCTGATTCTACTCTGCCTCATCACACAGGGGTCAAAGATCTTTCTTTGTGTATTTTTATGGTCTTCTTGTGAGGACCCTAGTCATTAAATTAGGGCCCACCTTAATCCAGTAAGGCTCCAAAGTTGTTATTTTCAAATAAGGGCACCTTCACAGGTACCAGGTATCAGGGCTTTAACATATCTTTCTAAACGATTTTCTTTTTGGCAGTGTAAGAAGTTGAACCCAGCGCTACCACTGAGCATAGCTTAACATAGTTTTTGACAGGCACAGTTCAGTTCAGGACAGAGGGCTTTAAACAGAGTTATTATGCTTTGATTTCCTCTTTGAAAGGCTCTCTGGCTATTATATGGAGAAGGGACTCTTAAGATGCATGGCCTTGTTATGTGATTTCTCTGTTCCACCGCCTGACACTGTCACTCTACAGTGGTGAGTAGAACCAGTATTCACCTAGTTACCTAATTGTGGGGGATTTTTTGGTCTGCATTTTGTTTTTTGAGACAGAATTTTGCTATGTAGTTTAGGCTGGCCTTTAACTCCTTATGTATCCCAGGCTGGCCTTAAACTTGAGGCAATCCTCCTGCCTGAGCCTCCGGAGTGCTGGTGATTTAGGAGAACGAAACTCCCAACCTACTAGTTCATGTTCACTAAAATCGAAGAATGAATTTTAGGAACAACAGAGGTTAAGAGCAGAACGTATTTATTGAAAGGAAGAAAGCTTCTGTCTGGAAGAGAGACACAGAAGGGGTCCCACGTGGAATGCGAAAGACTGTCTTTTCTAGGGACTTTTATAGAGCAAAACCACAAGGTGAGACAGGTCCAAGATGGGGAAAACATGACAACTCGCAAGGCAGACAGGCATGAGGTAGGACAGAACTACAGTCTACCAATAAGATTAATTGTTCAGGTAAAATTGATCAAATCAGGGACCAATAGGGAAGGTGAGTCAGTAGCAAGCTGTATGCTTGAAAAGCAATGACTTTCTGGAAGAGTGTTGGGACTCAAACTCCTGGCTTCCCCAAGGTGACGCATACTGGAAGAGTATTGGGACTCAAACTCCTGGCTTCCCCAAGGTGAGGCATACCTATTTAGAATATCAATCCCTGATATTTATACTTAGGGTGTGGTTGTATTTGTTTTGCCTTTTGTGTTGTGGTCTGGCCACGGCAGAGGTATCTGTCTCCTCCAAGGTTACAGGGTATCTGGTCTTTTGCACTGCTCCTTTGAGGGCCCCGCCCTGTCTGACTGCCTATAATATTTCTAACTCAGCTGCCTGGGATTACAGGTGTGCACCAGCATGCCTAGCTGCCAAAATTTCAAACCGATGACTTTTTCTGATACTCCACAGTTAATGTGCTTTACTGGCTTAGAAACTTCTCTGTAGGTTGCTCAGAGAAGTCAGTTTGGTCCTAGACTTTGTAATGATGCTGGAATTACTAGTAAAACGCCTAGCTTTTTCATGGCTGGTTTTTGAAATGGAGAGCTCTATGCTGTGCCTATCCTGCCCAGAGCCTAGCGATGCCTTCTCCCTGCCCTAAGTGGAATCTGCGGTGGTCTAGGCAGGGCCTGCTTGAGATCCTAACAAGTTACATAGCAGGGATTTATGTGTGGTACAGTGTAGCACAAAATCCTCGGTTACCAAGATGCCACTTGTTAGTGTTAGTTTCCCTTTTGCTTTCAGATCAGAGGGGAGACTAGAAGCCTGAAAGAGCTGTTGTGTGGCCTTCTCATCAAATTTACATAAAACTCACAAGACACATGTTAAGTAGCTATCTGAAAGCCTCTTTGAATTGCCCTCTGCTTGCCTGATCTTCCTCATTCTTCCAGCAGCTGCCACCCTGAGTCAGCCTGCCAGAGTCTTTCCCATCTGAATGGAGTCCTGGAGGGTCTGGGCCCCCAAAACCACAGAGACCCAATTGTTCTGTCCTTCCTGTTTCAGGGACTTTCACATTCTTTTTCCTTCTGTCTAAAAGAAAAACTGAAATGTTTTTGTTTGGGGGAGCTTTGCATCAGGAAAGCTCTATGGGAGTAGTTACATGCTGCAGATTGTAATGGTAGGGAGTGAAGGATGGTAGTATACAATCTAGGAAACAACCCACAAATTATGAATCTCTCATCTCAAGGTCTTCTGAATGATTGCTCAGCAGCCTGACTGTGTCCTGCCTTTTAGGGCTCCTTCGGTATAGTGTTGGGTGAGAGTCCAGTCTTGTGGATCACATCATCACACTTGCAGTGTATCCAAAAATGCCACCAACGCACGGTCAAACAGGAAGCTTTCGGTGGGCAAAATTCCTCCAGGATCATTTCATGTTGAAGTTTAATTTCTGAGACTGGATTCCTGGGATCCTCTTACCCAAATTATGGGTTGTTTCATTCCTGATAAAGTTAGTCCTGCACATTTCCATGGTCCCAGGACATGGCTAGACAGGTAAATATAAGACTGTCTTACAGAGCAGTTGTTTATGCATTTTTAGTGAGGAGCTGGCATTGACTTTTGTAACACTGCAGGCTCCCTAGCACATGATATGTGGGCTGTGTCCTGTTTACCATACCCATAGTTCCTGTGTCAGCTTCGTAATTCTCTAAACTTGGGAAAACATACAACTTTTTACTGGAACTATTTTAGGAATTTAACAGCATCTAAACTCTGTAATGACCTCTCCCTAAGACAGAGTTAGACTCCAAGAAATAAATATTGGATAAGGTTGTGGTTTTTTTTTAAAGCTATAATTAGAAGCTGGTTTTTGATTACCTAATAGAATAAAACTTATTTTCAAAGAGATCCTTTGCAAATTCCAGACTGACTGGTGACTGTCAAGCTTGGGCTGGTGGCTCGTGTGTTTGCTAACAGTCTGGCTTCCCCCACAGAGGCTGTGGAAGCTGCTGCCGCATTGTTCTGTCTCTGCTGGGGAAGGCACTGGTGAAGAAACATCTTTGGAAGAGGACTTTTGAGAAGGGACAGTCTTGTCCCCCCTTTTTTGATCTCAAGAAGCACATGGAGCTCGTGGTTGTGTCACTGTAGTCTGTGGATGAGCTCTGCCAGTTGAACTTTTCTTCCACTGTATCCCTCACACCTTTCATTACCATACACACACACTCACACTCATACACCTCTATTTGCAGATTGTTACATGTGGGGGAGCAGAGTCTTACCAGGTCTCCCATCACCTTTACTTTGCATATGCAGTTTGACGTGTTAATTAGATGTCTAAATTATTCAAAGACAAGGTGGTCCTCTAGGATAGAAAGGGATTAATCCAAAGATAGATGCTGCTTGAGGCTTTGTGGGGGAATGCAGAATTGTTTATTGATGTAATTTTGCAGTGTAGATCAGAATCAGCAAACCACAACTCAAAGAAAGGCCAAGTCAGACCTGCAGCCTGTTTTTTTATAGCAAAGAATGGTTGGTTTTTTGGTACCGGGGGTTGAACTCATGACTTCAAGCGTGCCAGGCAGGCACTTATGCCACTGGGCTAAATCCCTAGTCTAAAGAACAGGTTTTATATTTTTAAATGGTTGAGGAAAATTGTCACGTGAACATATGAAATTCAAATTTCAAGGCTAGTAAAGTTGTACTGGAATATAGTCATGTTCATTTGTTTAGATATCATCTGTGACTTTTTTAAATTTTAAAATGAAAAAAAGGATAATACAAGAATTTCAAAACAACATAATGGAAGATTAACAATGGTTAATATATTGCATATTGTTATGTTCAA